GCGCGGTGACCACGGGCGCGGGCACCGAGGGGGGCGGGGGGGCGTCGGCGAAGAGCTGGTGGGGGCGGTCGGCCTGCGAGAGCGGGTTCTGCGCCGCCAGCAGCCGCTCGGCCGCCGAGCCGTGCCGCTCGCCCTTGGAGTCCTTCTTGAAGGCGTAGGACACGGTGATGGGCCGGTTGCACAGGTACTGCCCGTTCATGGCCTCGATGGCCGCGTCCGACGCGTCGAAGCTGGCGAAGTTGATGAAGGCGTAGCCCTTGGAGTTGCCCGTGTCGGGGTCCCGCATGATCTTGGGGGTCTGCAGGATGACCCCGAAGGCGCTGAAGGTGTCGTAGAGCAGCTTCTCGTCGATCTCGGGGTCCAGGTTGCCGATGAAGATGTTGGCGCCCACGTCCAGGTTCTTGTTGTGGGCCGAGGCCTTGTTCACCCGGATGGGCTTCCCGTACAGCTTGATCATGTTCATGATCTTGATGGCGTAGTCGGCGTCCTCCTCGCTCAGGAACTCCACGAAGCCGTACCCTGCAGCACCCCAAAGGGCTCAGGGGTGACCCCACGGGTCTTCAAGAGAGGGGAGACCCCACCCAACCCCCCCCCCACTTGATCTAAACCCCAACTGACTCAAACCCCATTTTAATACCGATTGGAATCCCCTCAATTTGATTTTAGCCCCACCTGACGCTTCATTCAATCCCCGCTAAATCTGAACACCCCCCGAGGGATGGAAGGTGATTTCCCCCCCTTTGCCCACCCCAATTCCACCCCAGGCTCTGCCCCCTGCTCAGGTCTGGGGGTCCCAGCCCCTCCCTCAGGTGCTGGCCCGTGACCCCCCGCCCCCGGCTCTGTCCCCCCTTGGGATTTGGGGGGGTTTCTCACCCTGGTGCTGGCCCGTGACCCGGTCCTTGGGCATGTGCGTGTTGACCACGGGCCCGGCCTGCAGGAAGAGCTCCCACAGCAGGGGCTCGCTGACCTTCTCGTCCAGGCCCCCCACGTAAACCGTGGCATCTGCGGGAACGCGGGTCAGAGCCGGGAAACCCCTGGCATAACGGGGGGCTCTGTCAAAGCCCCCCTAAACCTTCACCAGCCCCCCTCAATCCGCCCTTATCCAGGCGGCCCCTCCAGCCCCCCTTTTCCCTCGGCACAGCAGACCAACCCCCCCCTCCATGGCCCCAGAGCCCCCCGGTGTCACCCCCCCATGTGCTCAGGGTCCTCCCGGTGCCTCCCCCCTGGTCCCAGTGCCCCCCGTGTCCCCCCCGTCCTCCCTCGCTCCCACCCTGGTTCCTCTCCGAGATCGGCCCCGCCGCCATCTTCTCCCGCTCCCGCGCGCGGCGACGCACGCCCGTGACGTCATCGCGTCGCCCGCAGTGGGAAACCGGAAGTGACGTTAGCGGAAGAAGGCGCGACGGCCATTTTGGCTGTTGGCGGGAAGGGCGGCAGGAGCGCGGCGCCATTGTCGCCTGTCGCGACATCTCCCGCGACATCACCCGCGACAGGCGGCCGGGAGGGAGCGCACTCAGTGCTCGGGAGTGCGCAGTGCCGGGAGATCCATCCCAGTGCCAAGGGATCCATCCCAGTGCCAAGGGATCAATCCCAGTGCCAAGAGATGCATCCCAGTGCCAAGGGATCCATCCCAGTGCCAAGGGATCCATCCCAGTGCCAAGAGATGCATCCCAGTGCCAAGGGATCAATCCCAGTGCCAAGAGATGCATCCCAGTGCCACGGGATCCATCCCAGTGCCAAGGGATCAATCCCAGTGTCAAGGGATCTATCCCAGTGCCAAGGGATCCGTCCCAGTGTCAAGGGATCCATCCCAGTGCTAGGCGATCCCAGTTCCAGGAGATCCCAGTGCCAAGAGATTCCAGTTCATGGGATCCCAGTTGTGCCAGGGGATCCCAGGGCTGAGGGTCCCCGTTCTGGGCTCCCACAGCATCCCCCTCCCATTTCTATCGCATCCCATTCCCATCCTGTTCCCACCCCCATTCCCAGTCCCATCCCGTCTCCTCCCCTCCCCTCCATTCCCATCCTGGAGTTCCTCAGGCCTGTGGAGGCAGCGCAGGTTTAATGCAAAGTCCCTTCCTGGGACCCCCAGAACATCCACAGAGGGGCCGGGGGCACCGGGAGAGCCCAAATCCCGAGGGGATCCCGGTGGGACCCCAGAGCTGTGCTGGGCCAGGTGCTCTGCGGGGGCTCAGCGGGGTCTCCGTGCGTTCCAGGCGCGGATCCGATCCTGGAGCAGCTCCAGCTCCTCGGCCAGGCCGGAGCGGGACGGGGCAAAGAGCCCCCGCTGAGGAGAGATGGGGTGGGTGTGGGAATGGGACACAGGAGTGGGACATGGGAATGGGATATGGGACATGGGAACGGGACATGGGAACAGGGATATGGGACATGGGAATGGGACAGGGACAGGGATATGGGACATGGGAACGGGACAGGGACAGGGATATGGGACATGGGAATGGGACATGGGAACAGGGATATGGG